TTCAGGGTCAGGGACATAGTTCAGTGGTGAGAGTACTAGCATACACATGACCCTGGCTTCAGTCCCCAGCACTGAAAAAAATTGTGTATATATTATGGGACATCTGTTTCGCTCACATTTTAGTAATAGTCACCAATGAGGCCTCATGCAGTTTGGAAACACGCCACCCATGTGCAGGTACTTTTCCTTCTAGAGCCCATGGAAATTGGTGCTACCTAATCCTCTGTCCTTTTTAGATCAACTCAAGGTAAACCTCTGATTTTTCTCAAAACAATATTGTATAGCCAGTATAAACTGATCAGAATTGTGTGAAAAGGACCCTGTTGTCATCCCAGCAGTAGTGCCTTGAAATGTAACCCAAGTTCATAGCTCCAGGAATGTCCCTCATAATGTATATTCACATAAAATGATATAGTCAAGTGATTCTTTCAACTCTTCATTGGCTGTTAGATCTCCTCCCAGTACAATTTCCTAAAGAAATAAAGTGTGCTACTTCCTGAAATTTAACTTAAGTTTGAAATAAAAAATGATAAAACAACAACAAAGCCACTGAGTTGCAAATACTGAGCATTTCTCCTTCAGTTACGTTGAGTTAGTTGATTCTTTTCTTCCTGAGCTAATCCAAGAAGCAATAAAGATGAGAAATTATAGAGCTTAGAAATCACAATTCTATTTACAGTCCTAGGTTCATTCTTGTCAGTTATGTAGTGTGAGACTCTCAGATCTTCAAATTCCTCATCTGAAAATTCAAACAAAATTTTTTAAATTTAAAAAATGAAATGAAAATAGTTCCTCAGGTCAGTGAGCACTCAGTGAAATATCTGACACAGTTTTCCAAGATGTAAGAGAGCTACTACTTTTCTGTTTCAAAACAGTAGCACATTATGTGATGGTAATAATGATGGAAATGTGTTCCTAGTCAGGATGTGTGATCTTCTTGATGATCCACTGTATGCTGTTTGCTAGTAGCGTCTTATTAAGGATTTTTGCATCTATATTCATTAAAGAGATTGGCCTGTAGTTCTCTTTTTTAGTTGCGTCTTTCCCTGTTTTGGGAACCAAAGTGATACTTGCTTCCAGGAATGAATTTGGATGTATTGCTTCCCTTTCAATTTCATTGAAAAGTTTGAAGAGTAATGGCAGTAGTTCTTCTCTAAATGTCTTGTAAAATTCAACAGTGAATCTGTCAGGACCTGGGCTTTTCTTTGTTGGTAAATTTTTAATTACATTTTCAGTTTCACTGATTGTAATTTGGGTGTTTAGAATGTTTTTATCTTCGTTGTTCAACTTTGGTAATTCATAAGTATCTAGAAATCTGTCCATTTCTTCTGTGTTTTCCAATTTTTTAGAGTACAGGTTCTCAAAGATGAAAACAACACTGAGATTCCACCTCACCCCACAAAGAATGGCTGCTATCAAGAAATCACACAATAACAAATGTTGGTGGGGTTGTAGGGGGAAAGGAAGTCTTCTCCATTGTTGGTGGGAGTGCAGACTATTGAAACCACTATAGAAATCAATATGGAGATACCTCAAAGAGGTGGGATAAGAAGTTCCATCTGATCCAGCCATCCCTCTGCTGGGTATATTCCCAAAAGAATTAAAAGAATCATATCACAACGATATATGCTCACCTATGTTTATAGCAGCACAGTTTGCAATAGCTAAAACTTGGAAACAGCCCCTTTGCCCATTAGTTGGAAACTGGATAAAGAAGATGTGGTGTTTCTATAAAATGGACTACTACTCAACCATAAAGAATGAGAAATTAGATTCATTCACAGGAAAATGGATACATATGGAGGATATACTCCTAAGTGAAATAAATAAGTCACACATGTGTAAATACTGAATAGTTGCTCTGGTGTGAATAAACTGTAATAGTACATAAGATCCTAATGAGATAATTGACAATGTGAAAAAGGAAGAAAAGGGCTTAAGGTGTAGGGAAAGTGGGAAGGATAGGGAAAATGTAATAAGGGAAAGGAAAAAAATAGGAGGAAATGAGAAAATGGAAATGAAATGTTTGTAAATGGGGAGGGGAGGAGGGGGTGAAAGGAGGGCAGGGACAAGGGGAAAACATGAGAACCAAGACCTGTCATGTAAAGGTACAAGATCCCAATAATTAATGAAACTGTACTGTATACCTAAAATGTACCAATAAACTCAATGCGGAAAAAATAAAGAAGGAAAAAACAAAGAACTGTGTTCCTGGATCCTGGCTAACAGCATGGTCCCTGGCTGACAGTGTGGCTGGATTGGAATTCCCAATTCTCTATTCTGACATGTATCCTGTGACCTGCCCTGTGTATCAGGTTCTGTCCTGTAAAATACAATAAATGTCTCTCTTCCTGGGTGTTGTAGACATCAGGTGCATCAACTAAGCATGCAAAACTGCTCCAGGCCCATGGTAAGCACCGGCAAAGTGTGGCTGCATTGCTTAGATCCCTCTGATCACGTGTGAATACATAAAACCACCAGTGGCAACCTACAAATGTTGAATAACTGCACAGCTCTTTCCCTAGGGAGATTCTTTGTTATCAGACTACAAAGGAAACACAAGTCAAGTATTCATTATCTGAAATGCTTGACATCAGAAGTGTTTCATTGAGGGTTCTTTTTTTTGTTTGTTTTTTCAGGTTTTGGAATATTTGCATAGACTTTATCAGAAGAGCATCTATCATCCAAAAGTCTTGTCCAAAATTTAAAACTTTTTGAGCATCATGTTGATATTCAACAAGTTTTGGATTTTGGATTTTTAAATTAGACATGCTCAACCAATTGTGTGTGTTTGAAGAGCCAGAGGTGCTCTCTAGTCCAATCCTGATCAAGTAGAAATCCTAGCAACAATCCTTTTAGTTGTCTGTTTATTAACTACCATCCAGGTGAGGCATACCTGTTCTAGTAGCACTGGTCAGCCCTCACCACTGTGCTTGTGGGACATCTGGTTCCTTTTTAAGCCATCAAACTTCACTCAGCCATTGCCTGAGAAGCACAGAATCCAGAATTATTGGATCTTGCCAAGGTATTTCCTGGCCCTGCATGTGGAAAGACCTAGAAGGCTAAGGCTTAAAAATGCTTCATAAGGGCCAGGGATTTAGCTCAGTGGTTCCATTGCCTGCTTCACAAGTGCAAGGACCTGAGTTCGATCCCAGGTACCCCTTCAAAAAAAGGAAACATAGTATCTTTTGGGTGGGGGATTTAGCTCAGTTATTCCACCACCTGCCTTACAAGTGCAAGGACCCAAATTCAATCCCTGGTACCAAAACAAACAAAACAAAATTCACCAGGACATATACACTTGTATAGGATTTGTTCAAACTGACATTTATTATTTAGTTCATTTAAGGTATTCCAACAAAACTAAAAATAAGGGCCGGGGATTTAGCTCAGTGGTTCTGCCACCTGCCTCACAAGCACAAGGATCCGAGTTTGATCCCCATACCCCCCCGCAAAAAATAACTAACATTTTATTCAATTAAAAAGCAAAAAGATCACTTAGTAAAGGCTAATATAGATTTATGGTTTTTCTAACATATTGAGTCCCACTTGATCGGAGAAAATATCTTTAAATTCCATCTCTTGTAACTCTGATTTTATTCTCACTATATGATTATCTTAGTACACAACTAGCATTCATGAAATAAAATTTAACTCAGCTGTAGATGTAGCAGTCCTTTGTGAGAATTTTGAACAGGGAACTAAAGTGTTTCTGTCTTCTAAAAGACCATTGTTTTACTCTCCCGTGACAGCATATGATATTGCATACATTCTGGGCACATATTTCCCCAATAAATAGTAATTTTATGGAGCGTGAAGAAATTTGCATCATCTAGGATGCTTACAGCTATGTTCCAGAATCTATTCCCGATAGAATTACTCATAGAAAACATTATCTATGCCAAAACCCGTTTGTCCTCCTCTTCATTTAAATGTCATTCTTTATCAATGCTTAAAGGATGATCTGTACATTGAGAAGACATGAAATTCCAGTTAAAAATAGTGTCTTGTAACCCTGATATATATTAATAAATATAATCATATTATAATCATATGAATAAATTATATATTAATATAATCTCAGAAATACATTTTAGGCTAGATATAGAAGATATTTTCCATCCTTATGGGATTATTAATTTCCTGTGGCTACTGAATTACCACAAATTCAGTGACTTAAATATATGCACATTTATTATTTTACTGTTCTGAGTCAGAACACTCTAAGGGTCTTACTGGGCTAAAATCAAAGTGCTATTGATTGGGAGGCTCAACTCCTAGTGGCTCTAGCTCCTAGAGGACTTCCATGTTCCTTGGCTTGTTTTCCTCTTCCATCTTCAAAGCCAGCAGTGGTTAGTAGGTCTCGCTTACTCTGTACTAGTCTGAGTTGTCCTCCTCTTTTTCCCACATCCTCAGACCTATAATTACGTAGGGCCCGTGCAGCTACGCAGTATAATCTCCTTATTTTAAGGTCAGCTCACTAGACATCTTAGTGCCATCTGCAGTCTTAATTTTTCCTTGCCACAGAATTTAACATATGCACAGGATCCTGGGATTACAATGTGGACATCTTTGGGAAGGATCATTCATTATTCCACCTGCCACATTAAGTATTCCACATGTACCTTGCCCATTAAATATCCTTAGTTTAACAGTCCCACACTGACAGAGAATTCAGGTCCTTGCTCTGCTAGTCATTGTCTATGAGACATGTCTATTATTATTGTCTTTTTGTATTTACTTGGCCTCATTCCTGCAGTAAGAAAAACTATATATGGTCCAAATGGGATGAGTTTAGCCTTACATGATTTGTTCGTTCATTCGTTTGTTTGTTTCGAGATGGAGCCTTACTACGTTGCTGTGTTGCTCAAGCTGATCTCAAATTCCTGGGCTCATGTAATCCTGAATCAGCCTCCAGAGTAGCTGGATTATAGGTGCATGCCACAGTGCCTAACCTGAGATTTGTTTTTAATAGTAGTTTTTGTTGTTTATTGTTCCAGGAAGAAAAAATGAAAATGCCTGTAAAGGAGCTCCTAAAACCTGCACTTTACTAGAAAAGTTCCCTGAAACAACAGGATGTAGAAGAGGACAGGTATCAACAGTTTTTTCAGTACTGAGGGGATACAGTTGTTGGGAATGAGGGAGAGCTGACCTGTACAAATAAATGATTATATCCTTTGTCCCAATGAATGCCTCTTTATCATCACTCAGTTATTGATGAAACTTAATTTCACGTTGCTGGTGTCAGAATTGAGGGTGGAAAATATTCAATGTTTATCACTTTGTGCACAGTTTGAGTGCTTATTTTCAGTCCTTTCACAAAGAATAGGATGTATGTATCAATCTTGAGTTTCACAAAGGCTGTAATCCAAACTGGCAGTAATTTTGTACTGTCATTTTAATTTAGCAGTTCCTCCATACCTTGGTAAAAGGCTAAATAAGTTTCATGTTTTCTGTGCAGATCAAATATTCCATCATGCACCCTGGAACACATGTATGGCCACACACGGGACCCACCAACTGCAGGCTCCGAATGCACCTGGGATTGGTGATACCCAAAAATGGCTGCAAGATTCGATGTGCCAATGAGACCAAGTATGTTTCCTTCATCGTTTCCTCACATCCGTCACATCTGGGGATGGGTGTTCATTATTATAAAGCTATATTCAGTTGGGATCTCTCTCTTCCTTTGTAACCAAAGTAGAATGAACCAGAGTGATGTTAGTACAGACTCTTGAGCCCGTATCCCTTCTTTGTGCATCCTGTTAGTCTGGAGACACTGCCTAATTCTAGGGTGGCCCTCCTTAGCATTTCTGCCCACAGCATCCCTCTGGCTGGGAATCTTCTTGCTTCTCTCTCAAGCTAGACAAACTTGAATTCAGAGTCAGCTAACATGTATTAATCCCTATACATATATTACACATTGTACTTGGGGGTTTACAGCTTGAACTATTCATAAATAGAGCAAGTCCCTTTTCCTATAGAAAATGGCTTGTGATGTTTATTTTTTTCTTGAGAGGAGGCATCATGGTGTGATGGAAACCAACTGTCTTTTCCAGATCCTGGCTCTGCCCCCTAATCCTGTGTAACCTTGGCGAGTTACTTAATCCTCTCAAATCTCATCCTTGCTTATAAAATTGGCAATGACACTATCTACTTTATAAAACTGTTGTATGGATTAAATGGAGTGATGCTTATGGAGCACTTAACCCATGGTCTGACATCCACAGGATGTCAGGCTCCTTTTCCCCGTGTTTTTTTCTTTACCTATTATAGCAGGTTTATTCACAATGTTATGCCCATCTTTTAATTATCCAAAGTAAACCATTACTAAGATCTAATTTATTCTTATTAAAAATAGAACCAATCTTCTGATTTTTTAGAATTACATGGTATATCTCCTCAGTGATCCTGCTGTGTACCTGCTACTGTTTTTTATTAATTTGTTTTATATCAGTCTGATCTCCACAATAAGCAGTGAGCTCCTAGAATTCAGAAATTAAGAGTTTATCTTCTTAGGCTTTTCTCATTGCCCTTAGTAGAGGTCACAATGGTGAGTGAGTATTCTGAGTTATTCCTTTGGTAATTGGCAAGTACCTGCCCTGGCTTGGCACCACAGCACCGCATGTTCTGGGAGATACAAAGACCTCACATGGGGCTTCCCTCTTCCACAGGTCCTCTGGTTGAGAAGATCAAATGCCATGCGAACTGTGGGAGACAGATGAAAACGAAAGAGATGAGTCAGTGGGCAGGGGTACCTCACTTGCAGTTGAGGTCTGGGAATCATGACAGTGGTGGTTTTTAAAGACAAGTTGGATGTGGACATTAAAAACTGAGAGGCATTAAAAACATTCCAGAACAGCATCCAGTACAGAGACCATACATTATGTGCCAAATACGAGAAATACTGAGTGTTGTGAAACCAATTGTGACAGGCTCATAAAGAATGTAGCCACTAATAGAAGACTTTGAGTACCAAGCAGATGGCATCAGACCTCTGTGTTAGAAAGTTAAAGCCAAGTTTGAATCTAACGGGAAGAGATAGAACAACTGTCAAAAGGCTGCCCCAGCAACATTCCTGAGAGATCAAAAGAACTGCAAATCGGTGCCAGAAAGAAATAAAGAGCAGATGGAGGATATGTAGATCCCCAAGTGAATCTTGGGTGTGTGATAAAGGGATGGAGAAGTCAAAGACGGCACTGAAATTTCAGTCTTTGGTGGGTGGAAGGCAGTGATGCCCTGGCATGTGTTGGGGACTAAGGAGGCATGATGAAACCAGAGAAAGGAACATGAACCAAGTGTTTATATATATTTTATTAGGTTGTTATTGGAACACAGTGGTAGAAATATCTGTGAATTGGCTAGAAATAAAGGTATGACACTCAAGGGAGAAGTCAAAACTAAAGAGAGAGATTGGAGAGGCAGGCTGAGCAGGAGTTTCCAGAGGAAGCTTGAGAGGCAAGTGAGTGATGGGAAAAATGGAAAGAAGTTATGAAAGCATCTTGTCAGGCCTCACCAAGAATTCAGTTTGGATCTACAAGGTTTTTCCGCCAGAAGAAGGGCAGGCGCATGGCAGGGAACTAGGATATGGGAGGATGCAGCGGGGGCACAGATGGACATAAGAGGAAGAAGGCAGCCAGGCATGGTGGTGCACACCTATAATCGCAGCGAACCTGCCTCAGCAAAACTAGAAGACAGTGAATATGGAGAACACAAGGGCTTGTTCTTAAGCACTTCTTAGGGTTTTAGGACTTATCTGTTCACTTTATCTCTTGCTAACTTGTGCTGCTTCCTTTCTTTCTCCATTTCTCCATCCCTTCCTCTCTCCCATTCAGCTTTTACTGCCTGCCACGCTGGGCTTCCTGTCTCTTGTATATTCTCTGTGTAGATATTTGGAGTGAAATCACTTGGTAAAAATCCCTTTGGGCACAGACAGGGAGAAGGAAAATGTAAACTGATCTTAGTCTATTTTTTCTTTAGTATGTATTAATTCATTTTAAAATTGGGTTTCATTGCGCTATTTTTATACATATACCTAACTTTTTTTTTTTTTTTGGTACGGGGGATCAAACTTGGGACCTTGCATTTGCAAGACAGATGGCAGAACCACTGAGCAAAATTCAGCCCAGTAACAATTTGCTCATATCCGACCTCCATTGCTCTCCCTTACATTCTCTGTCCTGTCCCCTCTCCCATACTCCCTTTCTTTTCTCTACTAATAGCATCCCTTCTACTTTCATGTCATCTTTGGTTTTTTTCTTATTAATAAGTTTCATATATTAAGGAAAATATATAATATCTTTCTGAGTTTGGCTTATTTTTCTTAACATGATGACCTCCAGTTCCATCCATTTTCCAGCAGATAACATAATTTTATTCTCTCCATAGCCTGAGGTAAAAAAGAATGTCCAGGTTGGAAAAACAACCTGGCAGGATCAGGGAAACAGGGGAACAGTGCCAGAGGCTCAAACAAGTCACAGAGGGCTCAAGACCCCAAGAGACCGGCTCCAGCTGCTCCTCTGTAGGTGCCTTCCTCCCTCCAGGCTCCCTGTAAGCACTTCGTGACCACACTTGATCATGCTTCAGGAAACCACTGCCAACCCCTCCGCTGAAGATCCTCTTAGGGCAAAGTCTTCCACTACGAGAGGTCCCACAGCTCACTCAGGGGGATCTCGAATAACGACATTAACTTGGCAGCCCTTCTGTTTCTGCTGTGCTAAAATACAACCTATTTCATGTGATAGCAGGGAGCTGCTGAGAACAATAATTTTCAAATGATATATTTTGCAAATTGATGGTCATTATTAAAAAGTATTTGCCATCTACCTGCCTATTACTGGGCCATGGAGGCAATTTTGTAGAAGATGAAATGCTTGATGTTCTCTCATTCCTAAAGAGCCAGGAAGCATTGACATGCCAGTCAGCTTCTCCTTGTCCCTCCTATTTACAGCATAGCATACTGTGTTACATACCCTTAATAACCCTTAACTTCATGCTAGTTGGGTTGGGCTTAGTACTTCATTACAAAAATAGTCCTTTTCATAAGAGAAATGGGTCAGTTAATTTAAGTGCTGTATAACGTTTATCCCGAAAATACCTACATTTCTAAATAGTAGACAGTTTATAAACTCTGAGGAAAAAAAAAACAGTTTGATATGAAATCAGGAAGTTTAATGAGGTGATTGTAGAAGTATTGTAAGTGTGGAAAGAGAAGCACATATATCAAGAAATCAGATTTCCTTGTGCTATGCAATAAGAAAAATTTTTCAGAGCTTCTCACCTTCCAGAAGAGTAGGTTACTTGTCAAAATTTTTGCCCTGTAGTTCTCAGGAATTAATAATTGGATTTTTATTTCTCCATCGCCATGAGTTTCTTGATAGAGTACATGTTGTATAAAAACTTCATCTTTGTAAAACATAGCACAGCTGTCTTTATCTGACAATGAGCTTGCAGGTAAGCAATCTTTACACTGTTAAAAAAAATGATCATTTTAGATTAACATGCCTTCATTCCAAACTTAATACATGTCCCTTGTCCATAATTTATAAAACACCAAGAGGCACAATTTTTTTAAAAAGTGTTTTTGTTTGAGTATTCAGAAATATTGCCCAGATACCTTTCAGTACCTCCAAATGTATATTCACAATGATGGAAATTGTAGAAAGAATAACATTGTCCCAATAATATAGCTGAACCAAGCACAATTCTAAGCATTCCATATGCATTAACTCATTAGTCCCAGCAACTAAGCTATGTACTTAGGATTATTAAAATCTTATTCTACATCTGAGGAATCTGAGATAGATGAATATAAAATTTGCACACGATGATACTTCTATTTTCTCAGCCTGTCATAACAAATTACCACAAACTGGATTGCTTGAAAACAACAGTAATTTATTCTGGAGACCAGAGGCTGAAATCTAAGTGTGGGCAGGGTTGGTTCCTTTTGGAGGTCCTGTGGGAGAATCCCTTCCTTTTCCTGAGTTTCCAGTGGCTTCCGTCCTTGGTGTTCCCTGGTTTAAAAGGTATCACTCCCAGTCTACCTCTGTGTTCACCCCCTCCTTGTGTCCTCTCCTATTGGATAAGGACACTTATCATTGGACTTAGGGACCACTCTAACCCTGTATGACCTTGTCTCAAAATCACAAGTTGGATTACTTCTGTAAAGATGCTTTTTCAAAATAAGGTTCCAAGTAGATAGAGCTTTTTGGAGAGAGTTGATCATTCAGCAACTGCAGTATTAGAATCAAGGTCCTATCCAAGACATTCTGGCTTTAAAATACTTGCATGTTTCTAGACCCATATCTATAGGATCTATATATAGATCTATATATAGCTTTTGCGGGTTTGGGGGATTTTGCTGTTGCTTTCCAAATAGGATCATGATATACTTTCAAGGTGATTATTCCAAGAACTGTTTTTATTTCCAGACAATTGGGTAATAAGCAGGGAGAGCCGCTGGAGAGTCTCCATATCTGGTCCTGTGGTCTGGCACCCCACCCAGGCCCTACTCCGTGGACTGTAAGATGAGCTCATTAGCAACATAGTCCAGAGCTGAATAAACTTGAGCTAGTGGATGCCATCAACAAATG